GTGTATACAGACAGAAGGTCCGTTAATCTTTTACAGATACAACTCTGGAATTATATCCCTATACCCACGAGCATCTTCTTCTTCTTATTGTGTTTTATGGCGGTTGGCAAACAACTTTTTTGTGCATTACCGCCACCAACTGAAATACAGTGTGGATCCACCGTTTCCTCTTAAAAACAAAAATTACATGTTCCTGTATCATGTTTCTCTATTTTAACCAACGTGCTATTTAAACCTGTATGGCCAAACCTCAACCTTGATATAACTATTTCATCCTTTCTATTCTTTGCTGTAAAAAATAAAACATAAATAAATTACTGCTTCTCCTATAACATTTAGTTTCTTCATCCAAACTTTGGTTGCAGACTCCTATACCACACTATTCTTGATCAAACTAGTGACACATGTATATTTTTTTTAATCGTTCAAGATTTGTACCTAACCAGAAACCTATTAAACACCTCATGATAATAAGTGTGTTTTACTCTAGATTTTAATGAATGCTAGGAAAGAAAAAAAATATAAAAGATAAAAACAAAATAGGTTTTACATCCAGACTAAAAGAAAAGAGACAACTTAAACATGGAGACAAATTTTTTTCAGTGTTTAATTTAACTAATATTTCCATTGTACAAAAAAAAATGTTAAAGTAAAAACAGATTTCAGGACATCTTAATAGCATGACAAGCATTTCAAGATCCAAAAACAAACTCTGCTCCTTGCAGCTCAAAGTCTCCATACGCCACCTAATAGTAAAACAGTTACTACACTAGGCGCCGTGTACATTTTAAAAAAATCCCTGAAAAAATGTCAGTACAATAAACCCACATAAGATATAAATGTGACCAAACAAAGATAAAGGGCAAATATTAACCATATATATTGTTTATACTGCTTGTAATTGTGATAAGGTAAAAATCTGTTCAGTATTTTAACATAAAAGTGTTTGTGAGGCATTAAAAGGCACTAAATGCAACGGGTCGATCTGACGCACAAACACTGGCTGAGTAACAACAATATGAACATTACACAAAGTTCAATTAATATTCTCCATTGTACAAAAAAGTGTTGAAGTAAAAACGTATTTCAGGACATCTTAATAGCCTGACTGGCGTCCAAAAGCTAAGTCTCTCAAAGTCTCCATACGCCACCTAATGGTAAAACAGTTACAATCCCTGAAAAAACGTCAGTTCTACAAACATTTGCTTCTTCTTTGGTTAACACTCTTATAGACAACAACTTGAAACATTTGTTATAATGTGATAAAATCTTAAGAAAGATTAAATTTATTAAGCATTTGTTTAACAAGTCACTTAAGTTAATTTCCCTGAACCTTCTCTCTTCTTTCTAAATAATCAACTTCATTTTTGTATTTTTAAAGTGCTTTAAGTGATTAAAATGTTTTATATAAAGCACAAATGGGAGTTTAACAGCAGCTCAGAGTAGAGCCCAGGTCAATGCCACACAGAGTTCTAGCAGCAGACACATCTCTGGAACAACTATTAAGAGGAGACTGTGTGAATCAGGACTTCATAGCTGCTAGGAAACCACTGCTAAGGACAGGCACCAAGCAGAAGAGACTTACTTTGGCTAAAGAACACAAGGAATGAACATTAGAGCGATGGAAATCTGTGCTTTGGTCTGATGAGTAGACATCTCAAGTTCCAAAAACTCATTCCCCCCCATGAGGGAGAACCCTTAAAAATAAACATGATTCCAGATCAGAATAGTGTATTGATAAACAGTTATGTCAAACAGTGCAAAGGCTGAGTCCATCCAGAACAGGAGCTCCAGCTTCTAAAGTTCTCCATCAGTTTGTGCTCCAAGCAGACTCCATGAGGCATGAAGGAGAAATCAGCTCAGGTTTTCCTCCCAGAAATAAGGAACCATGAACTCTCTGCTCTAGCTCTTCCTGAGGCTGAACAGAACCTGAGGAGCTACCAGAAGATCTCTGAGTTTTCTGCTCCATTCCAGTTTCTTCTCTGAAGGTCCGGGACTGCAGTTAGAGGAGGATCCTGCAGGAGAACAAAGAGAACCAGTCAGAACCTGAACTTAGATCCCAGTTTAAGATCAGATGAGCATCTGCAGAGCAGACTGACCAGAATCAGACTGAGGAAGAGGATGAAGATCTTCTCCAGGAGGGTAAAGCTGCTGGTTTGAATCCCTTTCTGCAGAGTTCCTGTCTGCATGAACATAGATCTGGTGCAGAGGACAGAACCTGGAGGAAGAATTAGATCAATTAAACATGTGATGGAGAGAAACTAAAGAACAGCAGGAAGTTCTGATCATTTCTGACTTACTTGTTGTTTTTAGGGAACTTTCTAAAGTAACACAGGAAACCAACCAAGAAGAAGAAGAAGAAAACAGCAGCAGGTAGACAGAGCAGCAGCCTGGAGCGCTGACCTGAAATGAAAGAAATAATGAAGACCTAAACAGAAGCATCGGGTTTATAAAGGAGGCTGAAATGGTTCTGGTTGGACCTGCAGACTCACCGGTTCTGATGGTCTCTTCCTCTGGGGTTGGACTGGTTCTCTGAGGAACCGTCTCTGTTAAAAGAATAAATCTCATCAAACCAGGAAAAGCCCACTATCCAGATTACTGGTGGTTTTAATCTTTAATTTCTATAAATAAAATATTTTTCAATGAAGCTTTTTCTAGATTTAAACGTTTAGAAAATTCTGACCAAAATCTCTAGACTTTAGAGCAAACAGTCGTCAGGAGAGATAAAAAAAAAAAACAATCATTAAGGTAATAGCTGATGTTCAACCTAAGAATCAAAATCCTTAAATGTTCAGGCTGATTTAAATATTCTTAGGTTCCTCAGTCAGGGTTTAAAGCAACACTGTAATGTTAGAGACAGGAAATGATTGTTCAACATTCAGCACTTTGTGTACATCGCTGAACTCTACACTTCTGGATCATTTAAACTGTCCTGATTTTGTCAAATTACTCAACTTTATGGTGTTACAGCAACTTCTGATACCAACTGTTGTTAAATTAGCATTTTTTGTAATGACAGCGGCAGCATCACTGTTCTGGATGGACCATATTGACAGAAGAAAACTTTTTTTTTTAATAATTATGATGTCACTGCAAGGCTGCTCAGTGGCACAGTGGGTAGAACTGCTGCCTTGGAGCAAGAAGGTTCCGGGTTCTAATCCTAGGTACTCCGACTTCCTCCTGCAGTCCAAAAACATGACTGTTAGGTTGATTGGCTTCTCTAAAGTTTCCTTAGGTGTGAGTGTGTGAGGGAATAGTTCTGTATCCCTGTGTTGCCCTGTGATGGTCTGGCAACCTGTCCAGCGTGGACCCTGCCTCTCGCCCGTAGACAGCTGGAGATAGGCACCAGCACCCCTCACGACCCCATTTGGGATAAAGCGTGATGATGGATGGGTGTTACTGCTCTAAGGGGGTTCCTCTGTCAACTAAAGGCCCATTTTAGAGTCTCTACACTCCAGTTAACAATTAATCAATTAATAAATTAGTAGAAGATTAAATCAATAATCAATTGATCATGATTCATCTAATTAATCGTTTTAGCCCTAGTGTTCATTAAAAATAATTTAGTCTCACTGGAACATTTTATCGTGGATCTTAGGCAGCATTAAACATCTTGGTTCTACTGGGACCTGAACTCACCAGTGATTGTAACGTTGCTGACTGCAGAACCTCTCCCATAGTCAGTCCTGATGTAACATAAATACAGTCCAGAGTCTTCAGTCCTCAGTCTGGACAGATGGAACCTGATCCGTCCTTCTCTGAGGACGTCTTTGTCCATCTGGACTCGTCCTTTAAAGTGTTCATCTGTAAACTCTGTCTCTTCAACATCTTCATAGACTGAATAGAGGATTATTTCTCTGGGAAGAGTCAACACACAGCAGTAGATGGTCCTGGTTCTGTTGGGTCTGGAGGTGAAGGTCCACTCCAGAGTGATGTTGTGGTTCTCCTCTGCCTGATAGGAGCTCTGTGTCACATTCACTACAAATGTTGCTGCTGAGGAGACAGAGAGGGAAAGAGAGGAGCAGTGAGACACACTGAGAACTGGAACATGGGAGTCTTTAAACTCCATCTCTAGAGGTTTCTGTCTCATGATGGTCTCTGTGCTGTCAGAGCTCTGCTTGATTCTCTTCTAGTCAAACTGCTTGATCAAATGCAGCTGGAGGATTGAAGTGTTACCTTCACTGACAGACTTTCACTGATTATTGATGGATTTAGAACAAAGAGAAGATGGAAACTGACCACAGAGACATGGGTTGATGATGATGATGAGGAGGAGACAGAGGAGAAGAATCAAAAACACATCAGACTGTGAGTATAATCCTAGTTTTATGTAGAGGTTCCCTTTGTAGCAGCAGAAAGGAAACACAGTAACTGACAAGAAATAAAATGATAAACAGAGGAGAACAACCAACAGTTTCTCAAAACCATAAAACACAAATTAAAATGATCCTCTACATGGATCATTATCAGATCTCTGAAGGAAACTTTCCTAAAAAACAAACTATGACCTAAGATAAATATCAGTAGTTGGTCTGGACCACTCCACCGTCTTCTCTGCTCAGGCTTGGGATGAAACACCTGAACCTCCCGTTATCCTCCAAGCTCACGTTGTGGATCCTCAGAGACACGTCTCCATGTCTCAGTCCTTCCGACAAAGACGTCCTCTGGATGTACGTCTCCATCATCATGTCTCTGTCCATCTTCCTGAACCGGTGCACGTACACGTACTCCACACGCTTCTGTGGGTCTGAGGCCTTCAGGTCCGGTCTGGACCACTCCACCGTCTTCTCCATGGCGTTCCAGTAAGGATCCACCCGACATGGAAGGATGACATCATCTCCAGGAGCCGCTAGGATTGGTTCAAATGGAAAAATCAGCTGATAGTTTCCTGAAAACAGGTTAGATTTAAACCTTTTCATCTCTCTGATGGTTCTATCTGTAACACATCCTCCCTCCTGAGCTGTGGATCTCTGCAGCTCCTCCAGAGTCACTCTGGGCCTCCTGTTCATCAACCAAATAATCAAAGCTCTGGGAGAAATTCAAAGATCTGAACTGTTTCAGAACCTTCATTACCTACCGTGATGTAATAGGATCATTTTAGAGCAGATCACAGAGATGACTCACTAATTAAATTCAATAATACTTTATTAATCCCAAATGGAATTTATTATGCAGTATCTATCTCATCTGACTCTATAACCATTAAAACAACTATTTTCATTAATCTCAGACGGAACTATTCACAGACTTGCATCATATTAAACTGAACTTCCAATTTTCACCACTGTTCGGCGCCAAGTGACCTTTCCTCTGATCACGGCTTGCTTGGTCTCGAAATGAATCCTGGGATATCCAAGGATACCGAGGATACATCGGACCCGTCCTTCAAATCGGGCAAAAAGAAGGACACATTTTAAAGCCGCATAACGAGGACTCTTGGAATCCGACCAGACCTCGGCATCGCGCTATGACGTAATGGGTCTTCAAATGTGGCCTTCGTAGGACGCGTCCCATGAATTCGAACAAGCCTACATGTGCAGGTCCCGCTCCGGTCCGCAATTGCAATCGCACCAAACAGGAAAAAGAACGGCGAGAAGATCCAGTTTGTCAAGTTAAAATATAGTAACAACAGATCAGTAAGTAAAATTTATTACATATTTCTTATATATTTTAAAAAAAACTAACACCGGTTATTTAAATGATTGGATACAAATTATTGGTACTTAAAGGTACACTATGCAACCGGTGTTGATTTTCCAGCGAGGCTCCCCCCAGAGGGCGAAAGTAAAAGTGCACTGTCGTAAATATGCTCAGCTGTTCTCCTGGTTTCTCCGTCAAGCCAGGCGCGGTTGTTTTGAGCTTAGCAGCGAATGAC